GGGTGGATGAGGTTGGGGTTTTGTTCGTTTTTCTCCATTTAAGGTTCGTGCCTAGAGTTCAGCTGTAGTGTTTCAACCAAAGTTTTGTTGACTTAGAGGCGAACATTCCTAGCTATTGGGCATCGAGTTAATTTGGCTTGGCATGACGGCCTTTACGATCGACTTTTTATGTATGTCTGCATTTATCTGCGATTGTCGGAGGGCAAACAAAATAATAATAAAAATGTTTTTAAGAAACCGAGGCTCAGATTTTCGACCGTCAGAACAACGAAATTGAGCATAGCGGCCGGCGCTACATCAATTCCTATATACTGTAGATCGAAGCCTTTCCTCAGTGGTAGGGATAAAATAAGCGTTCTGAAAAGACTTCAGCACATTCGTTTCGACTAGCCTGTGGTTACATCTTGAACGGGTAGTCTTCCTGTGTGTTTGTGTTCATGTAGATTTTCTAAAACGTTTGGTCCTTGCTCAACATAGGTGGTCATATTCAAGTGGTTCAAACTCCAAGCCTTGACATACCCGTATACTGCTGTCCACATGGCGTCGATACACCCATCCACCAGGATTGCCAAGCAACGGCCTACATTGTAGCACATTAGAGTTAGCAGTAGACCCATGCGGGTGCTCTCTCACCCCAACATGGCATCTCTTTGGGTGCGGAAAAACGCGGTGTAATAGATACCGGTACAATTTCGGCACACCCACCGAAGGCCTCGGGCCTAGGGCCGGCATTGTGCCTACGACCGCCGTTTGGTGATGTTGTATACTCATGTGCGTATGTATTTGGCGGCGTCCTTCCTGTAAAAGTAATGAGCATTGCTACTCCTGTACTGTCGCACGTCGGACCACTGGTGAGGTGTGCAGCACAATGCTCCGTACTACTCCTTACACACCGAAAGTATTCAGAGCAGCTTCATACAGCAGCAGTGGTCTGCTAAACTACGAAAAATCTTGCAAGTCTCATTCCGCATGGAATTGCACAACAAGCCGGGCGACGTCAAGCCCGGTAATGGCGTGGCCCACACAGTATTGCCCCCGTTCACAATGATCTCCACACACTGGCCTGCGAAGCCAAGCAAGTCCCTTTCGAAAAACAACCGGCAGGAACTAATGACTAACGAGCGTGGTGATCTCTGTAAACTCTCCGCTTTGTATATGTACGCGAAAAGCCATGTTTTCGCAAAACTTTGTTTCATCCCGATTTTACATCGGCATCGGCTCCATGCAGTCAAACAAACGAGGGCAATGGCGTGATTGAGCGCATTCTTTAACGCCAGCGTGATAGCGAGCAGCATGCTGCTCCAATGTCCAAGCGAACGAATGACGGGAGGGTCTGGTGCGCACCTCTTGCCGGGGCTGAAACGAGAAGGGGTACCGCCTCCCGCCGCTGCTGCTGCTGCGCCAGGTCCTGCCGGTGACGTTTCTGCGAGCACGGCGCTCACCAGCACCAGCACCAACACGCTGCAGAGCCACTGCAACGCGACCCATATGATCGCCTCCATGTAGGCTACGAGCCACCTGGTAATAATGTGTGTTATGTTTTGTTATTCTCTCACACAGCAAGCTGCACCCCCACAGAGCTGGCCACTCTATTCAATGATGTACATACTCCAAGAAGGGGGTACTTTTGGCTGTGATATACGGTGCCCCTGGTCAGGCTTGGCTCGCCTACTCCCCCGCGTTCCGGAAATTGGCACGCTGCTCCCAGCCGCACAACAACCAACTCGTTGCGTGGAGGCAGAGAGTCAACATCAACCGGTTGTGTACCCTGTGCGTTGATTCTTTTTTTAAAACGCCGAGGAGAGATATAGAGAAGGAGACAGAGAGACCGGCCTTCGCTGGTCATCACGCGTTTAGGAGGGGGCGGCGAGAGAGAGAGGGGTCAAAACAGCAGCTGGGGGAGAGGAATTTCGTATTTGCGGACAAACCATGGGCAACGCCACGTCCAGCGTCGCGGAGATCAAGAAGAAGGGCGATGAGTACAACAAGGCCGTGAGGAGGGAGCGCGCTCTCTCCGGCATGCCCGGACTCGCGCAGCAAATGTCCAGCAAGCGCTTCAAGAAGGACGACCCCAACACAGAGCAGTGGAAGGTGCGAAATGTGGTGTTTTTGTCGCCGTACACGACCGAATTTGCGCGTGTGCGATTTTCGGGGGAGGCGCTTTGCTAAACCCCCACTACCTGCTTGCTGCGACATCCGGAAACATGACAAAGAATGAATGTGCCGCCGGTGTTAGTAGGGAATTGCGCGCGTAGGGGCGGGGTTGGGCGGCTGTGCTTTCGCGGTCGTGTGGTGCTGCTGATAGCCGCACACCAAAGCTCTTTCGGGTGGCTCGCTCGCGCGGGGAAATAGCCGCACGAGGAAAGAGGGGTAGACTTGAAAAGACACAAAATTGAGTTGAAGTGGTATTCGCCTCTTTGGCGGCTGCAGAGACCAACCCCCGCTGGAGACCGAAGCCCACGTGTGTGGTATCGATTAGGTATCGATATCGATCGTCGAGCGTGGAGATGAGCGCGTTGGTTTAGCGGATGTTTGTAGAAGTAGAAATGCGCTCAACACATAATCCACTTGTACGTCCCTTGTTTTGTTGGCTCTTTCGTCTGTTCTGTTGTCGAGGGAGACGAGCAGAACATTTATGTCAGGACATGAGGTTGGCGCCAGGACCACCACACGAGTGCCTCGTGATGCGAATGGAAACCAAAGACATAGATCGTGACGTGTATGCTACGGACGGTCATCCTGTACATGTTGTATCCGCCAAACATACTACTCAATGTTTTAGGTCGGAACTTCCTCGTTTTGCGAGTTGCGGATGCGGCGACGTCCTAGGGTTGTGGTCGCCAGCGGCACCGACCGGCCCCAGTCATGCGCCGCGCGTTGAAAAACACCCCTCCTGTTGTCATGGAAGCGCACCGCGCCACATGGATGTTACCTTTTGTGAGGTCCCGTGGCCTCCCGCACCCCTTACGTTACTTGAGCATGTATGGCGACAACTCTATAAATCACCATCATCCAGATCAGATGATCAAGCAGGAAGAACCCCGGCGGGACCTGGCGTCGGTGACTACAGCAGCCGCCGTACAGATTTCATGTACTTAGCTCCAGCTGGTATTATGTCACTGGAACTAATCATCAGTGTATCTTGAGCCATGAAATTAGTCCAGTGCCCAGCCGGTTTTCCTCCACTCACTGAAAACACTCCACCACATCCCGTTCGACTGCTGTGGGTATAAATCTCTCGAACCGGTATCATAGTTTATTTGTGTGTATTTTTCAGCTGGTATTCGCCCACACATCACACCCCCTGGGGAATTAACCCAATACTACTGCTGTACTGCCGAAAGTTACCCCACCCCGCGACCGGCCTGTAGCCCAAACCGGTCTCTCCCCTACTCGACACTCCTGGCATACGCATGCGTCTCACGACGAAATCTTCTTGCACTTCCCAGCCGCAAGAGGCTCCATCTGTGTCATGTGAGGAACCCTACTGCTGTCTGTAGTACCTACACGCCTCCTGCGGTCCTCAAATATATTAATTATTCACGGAGAGTGTGCTCGGAACAGCACACACCAGCTGGGTCTCCGGGCGTGTGCTCGGAACAGCACACCAACAGTGTCGTGCACCGCAAGATGGGGTTATAGCAGGCAGCAGGACCAGCCCGCTGCTGGCTGCAGCGGCCAGCTGTGAGGTTTCCCAAGCTCAGCAGCTCACACACCAGCAGACGTGGTTTTTCAAGTTTTCGACTTTCGAACATCCCAGCAAACCTCCACGAAGCTTTACAATTGCATGCTACATGTATGTTCTCACGTTTGGTCTTGTCATGGACGACACCGTGTGGTTTTGTTTCTAGACGCCTTGGCCGGGGTCCCAACGCCCCAGAGACCTTCCTTCTGCGTTTGGTTCCCTTTTCCTTATTGCGAGAAGATTCGGCCAATCGCCTTCCTCATCGACCGTGAGGTCGAATTTTGAGCGCGGATCCCCTGCCTGGAAAAACCAACACTCTGCACCACTGCTGCTGCTATGTGTGCTCTGTCCCACACGCACAGCCGTAGCGAAGCGACGAGATGGACCTCATACATTACACTAGACGAAGAAGAAGAAGAAGAGAGAGAGAGAGAGAGAGAGAGAGGCAGAGGCAGAGAGACAGCGATCGCAATAGTACCCACTTGATCGATTGGGCATCGCATGTTCGAAGTTCCACGGCAGCCCATGTGACCACTCTGAGGTCCGAACTCGCACCGGAGCGTCAGAACGATTTGTGAGGTCAAATTTGCCAACAGAACCGCCGGTGAAAGCAGCTTCGTCGGGAGCTTGACCACCCTGCGCCACTTTCACGAAGTTTTTTTTTTTTTCAGCTCTCACACTCAGAAAAGGGGGCCATTTTCCAACGAATACCACCCCCTTCATCCCCGGGGGGCTCCGTGATGGCATTGGCCCAGAACCCACGAAAAAGCACTCTTCCTCCTATCTCTTGTAGTAGACGAAATTCTTCGTGTGGACCCACACGCTGCTACGTTGCTGGTCGTCCCCTGTACACTCTTTGACGCGTGAAACCTGAGGGAGAAGCGTACGCCTGACTTGATTCGTCTCACTTGTATATCAGTCCCACCATCGTTCATGGAGCTCCTCTGTAGGTCTTGTATTGGCCGTTCGTTGCAACCTCGTACACTAACCAGTGCCCAGATTCGCGCAGCACCCTGTCACATGACCATATCACACCAATGGAACATGCACACAACATCTGGGGGTTGTTCGTGGGAGTCGTGGGACTGCCCTTGATTGTCCTTGTCCCTGCAACAAAACCGTCCTTCGTGTAAGCAAGGTTTGCTTCGCGAATGTTGGCCGTGCACCTGATCTGTTTTCGCTGATTTAAATCTTAATCTGTGCATGAGAAATGCTGAACGATCTTATCTTTCTTTTTTTTTGCCCCCATTTTGTTTTTTTTCAAAAGAGGTAACCATATCCGTTTCCAAGTCTACCGCCAGCTCAACCTTTTTTTATCTTTTTTCTTTTTCCTCGTCATCCGTGTGTGTGGGCGCCAGATCTTCAACGACCTGGACGTGCAAGACGACAAGCTCATGCTGGACCTGGCGGTCTTCCTCAACAGACTGGTGAGACTATCGAACATTCAGACGGGCATGAGAGAGAGAGAAAGAGAGGTTGCTCATCACCCATGATGTTTTGGGACCCTTTGGAAGGAGTTGGTCGTGCGTGCTGACTGACGGCTTGTAGGGGAGTTGAAGGGGACTTCCATCGTAAGCCGAAATGTTTGTTGCTGGCGGGAACAGAGGAGTTTTTGATGAAGTGAAGGTATTGTTCGTCCTGGCTGCGAGGTGAATGGATGCAAACAGTCAGCCCGCGAGGGATCTCGTATTTTGTGTCTGTGGCACAGCGTTCAGTGGACGTTGCACGAGTGTACAGACTATCTCACGTTCCACGCTTGGCCAGGTGGGCAGGGGGCGGTGCAGATCATGTGTCAAACCCAGGCGGGTTGTGTACCCATTGCAAGCTTCGTGGGGGTGATATTTGTGTGGGTGCGCTATAGATGTCAGTCCCGAACGATGACTTGTCCTTTCCAACAGCGCTCGTATTGTTCTCACTCTCTCGCCGCTGTTGACTTTTGTACTCCCCAAAACCAAATATACAAATATACGCCTTTGCTTCAAATGAGCACACGCACTTTGGATACGACGTTGGACGTCCCAAAACTGAAAAATGACTACGGTTAAACAAAGTAACGCACCCACACATACCTATGCATACGACACGCCGCCAAATAAACGCAACACACACACACACACACACTCACAGCACCGTCGATTTTCCCAGCTGGCACCGCGACGTGCTTTCATTGGTCATCCGGTACGCGGGTCGATGCAAGTAACACGCGACAATATTTTCAATGTATAAGTACTAACCTACACATGCGCAACACACATGCAACACACATGAAACACCTAGGTGAGTCGGTTCCCGGATAGAGGCGACGGCCTGATGAAGGAGGACGCGCAGCTGCCGACCCTGGATGAGTCGGTCCCCATCGACGGGGCCGCCATGTCGGGGCAGACCGACAACACCGAGACTTATTTCATGGCGACCAACACGGACGGAGACGACACGGGGGTCACGCTGGACAGCATCCACATGGAAGACGCGGCGGTGAGGAGATGTTGGTGATGACGGTTGGGGGGGGGGGGGGGGCAGGGGGTACTCATCGTCGTGCATGCCGTAGTTGTTAGACCATTGACCTCGCATCCCTACAAAGCCGGGACGGAGCACGCCGGGCTTTCGCCGTGCCAGGCTCTCGCATCACCAAAAACGCAAAGCGCCGTGAGGTATTCGGCGAGTCGCACGGAGGTTGCGCTGGCTGCATCCTGCCAAGGTTGTGGGGATGTGGGTGACTGCTGCGGTGGCGGCGGCGACGGCGGCGGCAGTAAAGGCTGCAGCGATGGCGGCAGCGGTGGTGTGTTGCTGCTGCTGCTGCTGCTGCTGCTTCTGTTTTTACTGGTAAAATTGTTGCGATTGTA